TATATATATATATATATCTCGATTCTCATTCCCAGCGATACGATTTTGCCGATACCTCAAAAAATTCTACGATACGATAACGATTCGATACAGGAGTATATCGGTCGATATATCGATATTATATTACATACCTAATTTAAACAACAATCTACATTTTTATTACCTCACAAATGCAACCAAAATATATAACATGAACATTTATCTGAAATTTTCACATCCTGTACCTCAATTTGGACATTCACAACAAAAATTTTTTTTAAATAATAAAGAAAATAAACAATTGGAAAAACAATTCTGGCTGCTACTATGGGCTCAGTGCTAAAAATCTTTTCTACAGATAACCAAATTACAAGCAATAGCAGAAAATAAATACAATAGAACAAAGACACAAGTTCAATAAATAGTGCTTTTAAGGTTTTTCAGCTCAGTCTAAAAGAAATTTTCAGGTACGCTACAGAAATGTTTCATTTTCTCAGAAATGAAATTGAATTTCTTCAGAAATTCTCAACTGTTTACGTTAAGACATATGGCTAACCGACCGTGTTTACTAGGATATTCGCCAAAACGCGCATTTTGATGTAATTTTGTCTGTATTTATTCATCCATGCAAAAAAGCGGAAGAGAGCTCAATTTAGTATTCGCGCGGTGTAGACGCGGCTGTCTGTGTGCGTGCACTTCAGATGTGTGCGCAAAAAACTTCTCACACAACGCTCGACTGTTTCGCAAACAATCCCGAGCGTCTTTTATGCTCACCTTGTGCCTTCGGGCAGCCCTTATATCGAGTCCTGATACGTTGGCCCTGTATCGATATTGTGGCACGTGTGCAGCAGTGGACAGCGCTTAATTTGAAGACAAGAACAACGTTTAAAATTGAGCAGAAAAGTGCTAGGTTTCTAAAAAATAATGAATAGAGCATAATATATAGGCTATAACAAGGTTTAATCTGGCCGCAGAGGAACACAACTGGGTTGCCTGATATAAAAAGACGTAATCCCTACGGAAATATCTGCTAAGTGTGCTACTTATCTTTGTCAACCTGGCAACCATGTGCACGCGCGCTCTCTCTCCACTGTGGATAAACCCGCTTGCTTTCTGAAAACACTGGTTTGTGTATGTATGAATTACCACCGTTTTGCGTTTCTCTATTAACAGTAAAGCTGTGGCTTTAAATTCCTTTAGAAATAACGATGTTACCAGCTCCTTGTTGAGAAAGATGGTGTAGCTCTTGAGCGATTAAGCTATTTAGATGATAAAATTGCGGTGCAGCGCTACAAAGTTTGTTCCTGAATGTCTGAGTGCGCGTCAGTGCGACCGCAGCGTGATCTGTGTGAGTGACTGAGCGTGTGTGCGCGTTAGATACAGAAGATAGCGCATTAGTTTAGAACTCTTCTAATTTTTATTTTTATTTTTTAAACCGAGAGAGTGTGTTAATTTGTGCAATTATAACCTACCAGCAATGTAAATATGATTTTTAAAAATATATTAGAATGAGTACATTACAATATAAATTTATTAGAACGAGTACATTATTATTTATGGGCTTAAAAACAAGATGCAAAAAATCTGAATATTGTACCTGGTGGGGAGTGCCCAATGTAAACATGAAACATATGCCATTACCTATATTGTACTGTGGTACAGTTATGGAGACCCTTCATTATGCAGAGGTCAACTGCCTGCTCTGCCAATAGTTAGAAATGACACTATAGTATGCAGTGTTTAATAAACAGCTGTTTTACTAAATTCTTCTGAGGTGAAATTCAGTGTAGTCCTGTATCGTGATATGCATCGTATCGTGGCCTCTGTATCGTGATATGTATCGTATACACACACACACACACATGTATGTATATACATATATACATACATGCATACTGGAGAACTCATGAGAAAAGCCAACAACTAACAAGCAATCCATAATGCTTAATTGATAATTGTTTCAGTGGAAAAAATAAGGTAGAAACTAAAAGAACAAAAGATCAAGAGACATTTTAAATACTTAAAAAATCATGACGAAAAGCATGAAGATGAGTGAAGAAACCGCAAATCCTGGAACATGTAAAGCCCTGGAGAGAGTATCTGCCCACACACAGGAACATCTTCAACTTTATAAAACATGACCTGCCCACACAGTTCAGTGTTCTGGAGCTCATAACTCTGTATGCGTGATGGACAGACATAGTCTTCCTACATAAGCAGTGGCTCTAGCTCCTACACACCATAGAGCAGCCTATTACCCACTTAATCAATCACAAAGACTCAACAGAAGAGAATGACTGACAGCTCTTATTACTTTCCAAGTACAATGGACCATACATGGATTCAACAACAGCTGATTTAACCATAGCAAAGCATTAGGAGCCTGTGAATGTTCAGAAATGTATTATTGAAAAGAGATCTTGAGTAGGACGGTCTCTTTATGCATTGAGAGCAGAGGCATCCTTACCTTTTAGACTGTCCCTGGGGGCACAAAGTCAGCCCTGGCTGTGTAGATGAACAAAGTGTGCAGGGATGGAGGGATGGGATGAAAGAGGAGACAAAATGAACGAGTAGAGGGGAATGACAAAGAGGACTGAAGGTCCCAGCATGCACCGCCACGCTCCACTGCAGACAGGGCCACGGTGACCCTCTGACACTGCACGCGGTTAGAAAGGAGACTCTCGCTAAAGAAAACAGACGGAGTGACAGCTAGAGGAAATGAGAGAAAGGGGGCCACCCACTATTTCATAAGGAGAAAAATGTTCCTTTTTACAAGCTGGCCACACATTCAGGGATTTACCCTATTGTGAACGCTGGGCGTGGTTGTGTGTGTGTGTGTGTGTGTGAGAGAGAGAGAGAGAGAGAGAGCGAGAGAGAGAGAGAAACATCTTCAGAGAGACAGAGAAGTCAGAACAGAGAAAACAGCAATGCTGTAAAACCACGGGGATGATCCTCTTAAATGCGGTTATGTCATGAAACGGGTGTAATCCACAAAATAATACGGCGTAAAGGGAGAATAACAACACAACAGAACGTGTTATGAGGTTTTAAATAATTTTACTCTCTCTCATACACACACACACATATATATATATATATATATACAGATGTCATGCTGCTGAATCAGCACATTGTTTGTGTGCCAGTGATGACTTGCCTTGAATCCTGGGTAGGGAGGTAGGGATATTACTTTAAGTACAGGGATGGGCTTCTTCTTTTGGATTGTTCATGTTCAGAGGTAGACAGACTAAGATAAGGCCAGAGGGAGAAATCCGATTAAACATCCCCCCCCCACCCAAAAAAAAAAAAAGAAAAGGGGGGGAAAAACCGCTGTTGCATAAGACAGGAGTCTGTCTTATGGCGAGTTCACACTGCACGATTTTCAAACTCGGCGGATCGCCGTTGTTTTCACACTGCGTGACTATCTGGGGTAGCATTCAGTTGCTGCTGTGTTCACATTG